CTGTCATACCACCGAAATACAGAACCAATTTTCGAAAATTCATCCTATTATTTTTACGACGCTGACAATTTGACAGATACGACTGCTACTGCAGAAAAAATCGAACTGCTTAAAGAAGAGATTTTAAATGTAAGTTAATAAGTTATAATGTATGTAAGTCAAGTTTTGAAGGGTGTTACAATAAATTTTAAAATAAAAAGATAAAATTACTAAATAGTAAAAATAACTTTTAAAGTTGAATAATTAAATATCCTATAGATATATTAGGAAGTTTTATACCTTTTTTGCCAGTGAAATACTTGTTTTCACTAGCGTCACCATGGCACCCCAGGTGTTGTTTCGGTATTTTTTTTTACTGAGGATACCCTGGAGCTAATAATAGTAGATTTTTTGATGCATCTTATTATAGAATAAAAAGGGGGATAACAGGCGACGTGTCACCAACATGTGGAGCTATTGAAACGTGAGATTCATATTAGGCATTCCAACAACCTGTCAAACAATAGGTGGTAGTCGCCAAGCCAGCCAATTTATAAAAAATATATTTTTCAAAAAGAATATTTTCATTGTGTTCGACATACAATATTTAAATTTAATTGATTATTTATGATTTTACGTAGTTTAGAAAAAATATAAAATCATATGTCGCACCCCCTAGATATACCAAACCTTCCAACCGACAGTTCTTTTGTTGGAATGCCTAATTAAACGGCACTTTCAAGTGGATGTTGTGTTTTTAAATTTTATTGTGTTTTAAATATACAGTGTTTCCGGATAGGTGAAACGACTCTTGTAAAAGTTTAAAATGTTTATTTTATGGGGTTTTGCCCTGCCTTGGTTAAAGACTAATTTTCAACATAATTTTAGTTTTGAGAAATCAAGGGATTTTTGCCCAAAGTGATTTCTTTGCTGCTATGAGATCCACGTGAGCTCTGTTTAAACTACACTGGCATTATTTCTCACGGCTCCATGACAAAACAGCTCATGACAAAATGGCGCAGGGGAAAATGGCATAGGACAAAATAGCGCAGACAAAATAGCGCAAGGTCAAAATATCGTAGGACAAAATAGCGGAGGACAAAATGGCGCAAGAACAAAATGGCGCAAGAACAAAATAGCGCAAGGACAAAATAGCGCAGGCCAAATAGCGCAAAGACAAAATAGCGCGTGACGAACAGGATATGTTATTTTTAATTAATGAAATTTATTGAAATAATGCGTAACAAATACTGTTTCAACGACGCCTATATAGAGAATGTTTAAAGTGTAGCTCTGTTTCTCTCACAATTTAGGATCCGACCCATTTTAGCGCGAAACCATTTCGCAAATTTGTCGCAGCAAATTTGTCCCAAGACAAATACATGAGAGACAAGTTTGCGCCTGATATAAATAAAGTGAGACCAGTTAACGCCTAATCTAATTATAGTGAGTTAAGTTAGTACCTTTTCAAAAAAAGTATAACAAATTAATCCGTGATAAAATATACCAGTATTCTAATTAAAATTAAAAAAAAAACCTTGAAATATTGTACCTAACCTGTGCGGCCTGGAGCCATGGCGAGTTGCTGTATATGACTCCAGGTCGCAGAGGTTAGGAAAATTATTTACGGTTTTTTTTTATTTTTTCTAATTTTATACCAATTTTTTTTAAAGCAGCATGCGATTGCTACAAGCCGCCAAGAATAGGTAAATTAGTTTCAGTTTTTTTTTTTTTTTAATTTTAATTAGTATACTGTAATATTTTGACACGCGCTTTTATGTCCTACGCTATTTTGTCCTGCGCAATTTCAAATATTTCATCATTCTAATTAAATAAAAAAAGAAACCTAAACTAATTTACTTAATTGTGCGGAGGAGTGTCATTATCGTCAGAGCAACCTCCTTGATGTAAATATCAAAGGGAGTGAGACTAAGAATGACTTTCATGGCTCTGGTTGGTTTTGTTTTCATGGCTTCTGTTATGTTGAGACGTTGTTCTTTGAATTTGTTCTAGTTTACGGATAGCTGTTAATTTTTGAGTTTTCGGTAGCCAGACAACTGTACCGTATGTTAGCATAGGTCTTACGATAGCCGTGTAAGTCCATGCGACGAATCCGGGGGAGAAACCCCAGGTGCGCCCCACTGTTCTCAGGCATTGTTCATAAGCAATGTATGCTCTCTTGACTCTGTTTTCTAAATGCGAGTTCCATGTTAACTTGCTCTCAAAGATGAGATCTAGGTACCTCATCTCTGTTGCAAAGTTTAGTTTTGTGTTTAGGAGTTCTGGAGGTTTTAATTTCATTTTCATCTTTTGCCTTGTAAAAAGAACCATGTCTGTCTTCTTAGGCTGTTCTATAAATTTGAGAGCTACTTGTATTTTTGTAAAGAGTATGTTCTCAAAATTCACTGTTTGTAGAATGATTAGGTCATCTGCATTATGCTATTGTGAAGTGACTATCATTATTGAAGCGGCTGATGAGGGTGTCAAGGATCATGTTCCACAAGATCGGTAATAATACCTCTCCTTGTGGTCATCTCCTCGCAAACGAGCCTCTTATATTCACATCTTCTACACTTATGTTTACTTCTCGCTTTGAGAGTATCTTATGTATCCACCCACTAACCATGTGTGGAACTTTCCTGTTGATTAGTGGGTGTATTATCTAGGGGAAGGTTATTTTATCAAAAGCATCTTCTATGTCTTTGAAAATACCCAAGGCGGACATAAAAATATTAATCTGTCAAACTTAACAATTAAACACTACTTCCTTAAGCTTAAACTGTCTCTTGAATGCATTGTTAACATTAGAGGAAAAAGTTTACTTAATTCAGTGTTATAAAATAATAATTTCCTAACAAATAATGAATAAAGTATAAACTTTAAGTTCTGTCATAGTTCCCATAATGTTACTTTTCTATAAAAAAGGGTATAACAGTATAACACACTTCTCAATATAAATTCCACAAAAAAACTTTGTTTTCGCACCCTGTTCACCGAGAAGAAAAAATCATTTTACATTAAATGTTTCGAAAAAAGGGCGTATATAACAGATGTAACATTAATATAGGAAATATGAATGTTGTGTAATTATAAACTTAATAACATACCTGCTGGCAACAATAAGAAAACATAAAATCTATGAAATATAGAATTTTTTATGATTTTTTTTATTCTTTTATAGGCAGTAATTAAAATTGGTTTTGATTACATATTATTTTGCTTCAATATTGCTTTATTTACATAGCATTCTATCTATTTTCATCTCAATATCAATTTTCTTAATACTATCTTCAGGACACCTAAAATAAACAAAGTTTTATTAGTAAAAATGATAAATTAAACAAATTGCTTTCTACTTACCCAGTTCATTATAAAATTCAATACTTTGGTTTCTTCAGGTGCAACAATTTCTTGTAATCCTCCAGGGTCTTAAATCATTAACAGTTAAATATTTAAATTTGTTTTTGAAATAGTAAGCATTGTTTTCATTGAATTAGTTTAAATAAAACACCTGTTGACTGTCGTTGTCAATCTAATGTCAATGTCAAAACTGGTTATTTCTCTATCAGTGACTTAGGGTTTTTTTAGCGTTGCATTTTCAATAATATTTCTTAATGACGTCAGAGCTAGAAGTCTCTTGCCGGCGTCTGATTGGCTGTTTCAAACTTCAAGGCCAAGATTGCCGTTTTTTATTAATAATTTTTTTTTGATAATTTGGTTTTTGTTTCGGCGATTCTCTGGTCTTTTTCGTGTTAATAGCTGACTGATAGCATCTTTAGCCGAAATAAATATTAATTTTTACATGGTCATCCTAACTTTTAGGAGGTAACAATTTCAAAATTAAATTAATTAAATTATTATTTAACATCGCATTTCCATATTTTTAGATTTGCCGACCTATAAAAATAGGAATATATACCATATTTTTTTGGTGCAGAAAAAGCCGACAAATGTGGTTTTGATAAACCAGCCTTTTGTGTATTTTATAATTTTGTATAACATTGGAAACTTGGATGTCTCAGCTTGATGCGGCGACAGCTTTACTGTTGAGAGCTTCAGCTTCTTGGAACACTTCCGTAGAAGGGTTTACTCCATCTATGGTGAAGGTCAGGGCTAAATATTTAATTCGTCATCCCCATGTCTTCGTTACCGGACTGCGACATGTCCTCATCACCATCTCGAAGGGATTTTTTTTTCGTTATCTCGTTTAAGGTCAGAAATTTCTAATTTTTCTTTTAAGTTAAATTTAGTAAATAATAATTTCTTTATCACAATTTTCATAAATCAAATTTAGTAATACTTGTTTTGATGATTTTTTTTATTTGAACTACTATCTTGGTGTAAATTTAAAATATTATGTCTAAAATCCTATGAATTAGGTATTTAAAATTCACCAGCGTGTGAACCGAAATATAGCTATATTTGGGGGAGTGTGAAATCAACAATATTGTACGATTTTGAACTTAAGGTATTTACCATAGAATAATCAGCTAGTGCTACGATTAGAAGATAAATTAACCATTATTTAAAAATACTCTATAATGAAATAAAAGAAATTGTGGTAATTTCATCATTTTATTTTCCCCAAAAGTTTTCATTTCAGGCCTAATATTTTGTTTACTTGTAAGTTTGAAACACTACCAGAACTTAATGGCGCCCAGCTTTAGGTAATTATTTATATTAATTTTTCTTGACATATATTTCTTTGTCATCGAACCTCGACCCGCCCCAAACACGTGAGCTACCTTCGCAAAAAAAAATCAAAGAGGGTTACACAGATACCGGTATCTAGGTAGGCATCACTGCGTGCACATGCCTAGGTACCGTCTATTTTTCGAATAAAATTTTATTTTAAAATTATAGTTTTCTGACAAATCCTTCCATAAACCTCACGGTATTGGAAATTGGAACGCCTTCGGGTGAATAATAAAATATTACTCTTATTCAATAACAATTACAATAAACCATTGTTTTATCTAATTTATTTTGTAAAATTTAAGTTTATCTACTTACTTTGTAAATATGTATTTTAGTAAGTTTTATTTTTTCTAATTCCGATTAAAAAAAAATATTTTGAAAAATGCTTGATATTCAGAATTAAGAATATCTTGACTATATGAGCCACGGTATTTTTGTTTTCAAAACAGTATAGAACTGTCCCCTTTTTCCCCTGAATCATTCATCTCGTTGTCCTAGAAATCTTCTTGGTGTCTAGACTTCGAGGCATCCCAAAACAGCGCATCTGCGGAAAATTCATTTTCTCCCAATTCTCGGATATTTCAAATCCAATTGTGGTGACTTTTGCAGCAAAATTTTGAATACGATATAAGCACCAATTATGCACAGTTTGTTAAAAATTAGTTTGTTATTTGTGATGGTGTGTTCGATACAAGGTATTTCCGATGAGAGGAAAAAAATGGAGAAGGTGAAGCATCTGTAAGTATCTTTTTTTTTATATAAATGCTCGTATATAGAATTGCGCTGTTCAATATATTAAATATTTATAGAAAATACATTATCTGATTTAAAATTACAAATATATGATTTAAATTATCTGTAGTAAATACTAAAATGCGATGGTCTGTAATCTTATTTGGATTCTACAAATAAAAATTTACCAGTGATAACCACGTAGGTTAAATACATTCGCTGCAAATTTATTGCAAGCTTACAAATATAAATGCAAGTTTGTTAAATGTTTATTGATATCTTTTGGCAAGTTTGATTCTCATTCTAAACTTGAAAAATAAACTTAATTTGACATACTTTATGGAAAGTTACAATAACTTATTGTTAACATACAATCAAAAACTTATTTATAGTTTCAATTTAAATATTATCTAAAAACTTTCAATAACAAATTATTTAAAAATTTTCAAAATCACACATGACTTACAGTGTTAAAATTAAACTTCTATCAAACTTACCATTATAAATACGCTTTAAATTCTCAGAATTTTATTTTCTTTATACCAATTGTAGTATTATATTTTGAATCTTCCCAAAACTCTGTAACTTTTGAACTAGTTGAAATATCGAAATGTGGTTTTCATCAGTTTTCTTAATATAGGGCAAATGTTATTTTAAATTATTATTTTATTCTTTGTTAGATCGAGTTTCATATGTACATCTTGAATAGTAGCAAATGAAGTAACATGTAAATAAAAATATTTATTTTATGAGCGAATAAAATCATCATCTAGTATAATTACAACAATGGACTTTAAATTGAGAAAAATATACATATTTGAACCAACAGTTGTCATATTGCCGAAAATATGGAATGTCATATTCGGTTAAAACGGAAGTAAGCCAAAAAAAACATAAATACTCTGAAAATAAATATAAAAATTGGAAGAAGAGTGATGAAAACTGCACTACATTATCTCAACTAGTTGAAAAGTTACATGGGTTTAAAAAGTGAAAGTGTTAAAATATAACAAAATATTTTAGAAATTTCTAGAAACTTTTAATCGTAAAAGAAAACAGCGAAACTATTCTAACATTATAATTAAAGTAGGGGAGAACAGCGAAAATATTCTAACATTATAATTTAAGTAGGGAAGAAGCTTGTATCTTCAACCAGATTTTTTCGGGAGTTGTTTTTTCACATTTTGATATTTTCAGGTAAATTTTTTTAGCTAACTTATAGCTTTCATACAGTTGAACGTTATGTAAAAGCATTACTTCAACAAAACAAAAAAATCTGATGTGTCCAACATATGACTTTCCTATCTAGTTATTACAGGTTTTTTCCGGTAATTTTGTACAACCTATTGTAGCACCTCTGTAAATGTTTAGAGGATAAAATAAATATATACATTTTCCACTCGAAACATTTTTTTATACATATTCATTGCCAACGAAAATACTAAAAATAAAAATTTTGCACTTTTCCTCCAATTTTTTCATTACTGTCCATTTTAGAGAAATCATGCATATAACAAAAATTATAAAGATCGATATTGCAAACAACTTTTAGTTTTAACAATTTTCTAAACAATCAGAATTTTGCACATTTTGTCAAATTTTTTGAATACGGACCATTTTAGGAAAAAATTGTAAAAAACAAAAATTATAGAGAATAATATTAGAAATAACTTTTATTTAAAGAATTTTCTTCTCCAAACGTAAATAACGGATATATTCTATAAAATATAAAAACGACCCCCTATAAAGTACTCTCCCTGATGTTCTGACTCTACCCAAAATCTATTCAGTTCACCTCAGGCCAGAATAGAGCTTAGGTTTAAAATTTAATGCTATTTTTTTATCCGTTTTTGAGTTTTCTTCAAAATTCGAGATTTACACATTTTCTCAAATATCTCGAATACAGTCTATTTTAGAGAAATTATGTATGTAACAAGAATTAAAGAAAATTATATCGCAAACAACTTTTACTTTTCATAAAAACTTGAATTGTTTTTATTTGGTCATATTTCTCGAATACGGACCATTTTAAATAAATTTTGTATGAAACAAAAAATATAGAAAATAATATTAGAAGCAACTTTTATTTTAAGAATTTTCTTCTTTAAACGTAAATAACAGATATTATCTATAAAATATAAAAATAACCCCCTATAAAGTACCCCCCAGATGTTCCGACTCTTTTTGAACGGCACAATTTGCGTAAGATCTGTAAGGTTTAATTTGCTCAAGTTTGATTAAATATCTTTTTAATGTAGATCGAAACACCTTAAAGTCTTTAGCTGCAGTACGCACCGAAATATGTGCATTTCGTACATGTATATGTGCATTTACTGGGGCTTGTAGTGCGGGAAGCTCGGGACAACTTCTCTTAACACCTTATTTACTTCTTGGCATCTAAAAGAAGTATCCTTACAATTATACGTCCGAACAAGAACATTAAAACATAGAATAGCCAATAAGAAATACCAGTCAGTTGTATGTTCTATGATGTATAAACATGAATCTATTAAGACTGATCACATATTTAAACAATTTTCTTTTTTTTACCATCTTGACCAGTATATCTATTGCAATATGGCTTTGTAATGCCCCAAATAAGTTCAACTGGATTGAATATACAATGATAATGAGGGAGTCGTAATACTTTATGTCCGTATTGTTCTGCTAGAAGATCGACCATATAAATTTTTGGTGATTTATTTCTAAAAAAAAAAATTACGGACGAAACAGATTTCTTTTACTGACTGTGCAACAAGATTCAGAAGTTCCGCTTTACACATAGCAAATGAAAATCTAATATTCTGATTTGTCAGCCACTCTTGTATTTTAATTTTTGTCCAGCTGGCGTTTGGTGTTTTATGTAATAATGTACTGTGATATCATTGTCCATTATGATTAAGAATGGTTCATTAAGTTTTTTCAGCAACTGTTCTTCAAACCATTTTAAAACATTCTCATTATTCATTTCACCATGATAATCATTCAGCTTACTTTGTGACGCGTTTCCAGCATTAAGTATAATGTACCTATAAATTAAAATTTCAACTGAAGCTTTATTCTAGTAATGATTCACGTACCTCTTACCATCAACTTTTGTGGTTTTCACACTTCTTTTATTTTTATTTTTATTTTTCCAAGAACGGTTTATAGTCCCAACTTGAAAAATCCACGTCTCATTAATAAGAACAAACTGAAATAAACCTGTTTTCTTTTCTTTCATTTAATTTCCTAAAAATACAGCCCGTTTCACAGCAACATCGGAAAGTTCCATAAGCCCTCGCCTTATATTATCTTTTTTCCATTTAAAACCAATATTTTTTAATGAGGTACATAATGACACGGAGCATCCATTAAACAATTCTTTTTCTTTAAATTTTTCTAATAAAGAATCCAAAAGTTACATGTTCTTCTGCAAACAAATATATAGATATTTATAATTAGATGATATAAAATGAATAATCGACCCTTACAAGCTTCATACCTACATGTTGTAAAAAACATCTCAAATTGTACTTGTATCTACAGTTCTTGTATTAGTTACATTTTTTGTACGAAGACACTTTTTTGGAGGCGATTTCAAAACGACATCATTCTTAGCTGCTTGAGAAATAGCACTTACAGTGGACAAATTTAAGTGCTGCCGATACTCGATAAAAAATTAGATTAGTTTGATGTTTCTAGACAATATCAATAAAAACTTACTTCTCTGATAGCAGCTAAAGGTAGTAAAGGACCATTGTTATTGCGTTCTTGTGCAAAATACTGTATCAATGAAGCCATGAGCTCCTTACATCGGCTATCTAATTTCTTTGGCATTTTTAAACCTGCGAGGAAGACAATATGGTTGTTCTTAAAAGAACAGTTTTTTATAACTAAAAATAATGACCAGTTAACCAAAAATAATAACGAAATAACCAAAAATAATAACAAAATAACCAAAAATAATAAAAAAAACTCAGAAAATTAACAAACTGCAATAACAAGACACAATGAATATGTGACAAAATACCAACTTTATTGTAAACTTAGCTATCACTATACAATTGAAAACTCAATGTTATAGAATTAAAAAAAAACATCCCGATTTAACCATAATAAGGATGATAAAAACAATTTTATACTTGTAATGCAACTAAATAAGAAAAAGAAGTAATTGAATATTTATCGTCATGATATTATAGAAAATAAATTACGAACAGGTAATCTCTAAAAAATACGCACGCCAATTCAACTAGTGTTCTATCAGACCATCAAATCGTAATATTTCATTAAATTTGTTGGTATTACTGCACTGCAAAGTAGAGAAAATACGTCATCGGTGACGTGCATTGGTTTTTATATTAGGTGAGTTCGGGCTACTCACTCTTTTCACTATATTCACTCCTAAAGTACCTAAGCCGTTCGAAAATGGAAGGAGTTAAAATAAAAGTTTCTTTTTGACCGTTCGAAGATAGTGGAGTGGAGTGTGAATCGGAAATGCGCATAAGGTGATTTAAATCGATAATAAGATAATTGTGACCAATTCTTAAGTAAAAATGCTGTATATTTGATTCTCGTGTATACCATTAACATGGAAGAAACTTATACGGTTTTTACTGAGAAGTACGATTAGGTTTTAAGTATTAGTATGTCACATTAACATAACTGACATTGAACTCTGAGAGTAAAAGGAGTAAAACCATATGCGCACTCCCTTTACGCCTACTTACTCCACTCCACTCTGGATTGCGCAGCCCGAACGCATCTTTAGAATGAAGTATAGCCACAGTTTAAAGCTAAAGAATCAGTTCGCTCACCCTGCGTGGGCACTTTTGATCTCAATGTTCCAATTTATACATTGCGCAACTCGGATTTGTATCCCTGGCACATACAGAATAAAATCATAATAGCCCAAGAGCCCACTGCAAATTTTTACCGTAATCTGACAACGAAATTAAATATACCCGAAAAAGTATGTAAAAACATTATACATTACCAAATGGCACCTGTGCCAATCCCAATCA